CTGGACACCACTGTATTTCTTCTATGGCCCTCACTCACTCTGTAACCCAGGGGCACCCTTTGGCACTTATGGTGGGGGTCTGAGGGTCCTTGCAGACATTAGTATGAGTTCCTTATCTATGTGCTTACTTAGACCAGAAAATAAATAATATAATTTATCGGAGTTCCAGTAGTTCGATGGTTTGGTTTATTTCTTTTACACTCTACGTTGTCCAACCCTTTTCATTTTTAAGGCTGTAAGGAGATCATATGTGAAATCACTGACTTGTAAAGGTTGTACTGTAACAGCCGTGATCTCTAGCAGTCTTACGTGTCTCCCCATCTATCACCTGAAGCATGTTCCCAATCTCCAACTACTTTAGCAACTTGCCGACTGCAATACGTATATATGTATTGCGGTTTGCAAGTGGTTTACCATGCTATGGCTGGTATTATCAGCCATAAACCTGGTATTTCAATTTTTTTTTTTTTTTCAGCCGGCGATCCTCTTTTACATGATAGCGATCCAAGCGGCTAATTAGACGATGGAACCCTTTCAGAAGGGTCATTTCTCCCCCCCAACCGTACTTCTCAGGCTTTACTCAAATGATCCGACAGTACGTGTGGCTGGTCACTGAGGCCATGGAGCAATGGAACAACAGCACCTCAGCCACCAAGTAGTAGGCCACGTAAAATGACAGAGTGGGGTCAGCGCATGCTGAAGCGCACAGTGCGCAAGAGTCGCCAACTGTCTGCAGAGTCAACAGCTAAAGACCTCCAAACATTGCATGGCTTTCAGATTAGCACAACAGTGTGTAGAGAGCTTCATGGAATGGGTTTCCATGGCCCAGCAGCTGCATCCAAGCCTTCCATCACCAAGTGCAATGTAAAGCGTTGGATGCCGTGGTGTAAAGCACGCTGCCACTGGACTCTAGATCCATGGAGCCGGGTTCTCTGGAGGGACCAATCACGCTTTTCTGTCTGGCAATCCGATGGACATGTCTGGGTTTGGCAGTTGCCAGGAGAACGGTACTTGCCCGATTGCATTGTGCCAAGTGTAAAGATTGGTGGAGGAGGATTATGGTGTGGGAGTGGTTTTCAGGGGTTGACCTTGGCCCCCTAGTTCTAGTGAAGGGAACTCCTAAGGCATCAGCATTCCAAGACATTTTGGACAATTTCATGCTCCCAACTTTGTGGGAAGGGTTTGGGGATGGTCTCTCCCTGTTCCAACATGACTGCACACCAGGGCACAAAGCAAGGTCCATAAAGACATGGATGAACGAGTTTAGGGTGAAGTAACTTGACTGGCCTGCAGAGGGTCCTGACCTCAACCCCATAGAACACCTTTGGGATGAATTAGAGCGGAGACTGCGAGCCAGGCCTCCTCCCCCGACATCAGTGCCTGACTTGACAAATGTGCTTCTGGAAGAATGGTCCAAACTTTCCCATAGACACCCTCCTAAACCTTGTGGACGGCCTTCCCAGAAGAGTTGAAGCTGTTATAGCTACAAAGGGCGGGGCAACTCAATATTTAACCCTATGGACTAAGACTGGGATGCCATTAAAGTTCATGTGCGTGTAAAGGCAGGCCGACCAATACTTTTGGCAATATTATGTATAAGCAATTAATATGTGTATTTAGCAGTTTGAAAATCATCTTTAACCTGAGATGACTCCAAAGAGAAACATAGGTGTGAACAGAGTTGCTTCCAATCCTGTGAAGGTGATGCTGCCTAAGGCAATGAGGAAATAACTGATACTATTAAACAATGGCACCAATGTAACAGAAAACCACATGTGACTCAAGCCACATGAAAGTGTGGCTTGAGTCACAAGCCACACTTTCATGCTTTCATTTCATATTGGGAATAACATCTTCCTAGTAACACTTGAAACAAAGGAGGAGATGCGGCTACATAGGGATTTTAAATGTTCTCTATGTCTCCTCAGACAGGGAAGAAAAAAGACAAAAAAAATCTCAACAGCCCACAGTGCTTAGAAAGCGTATATAAGACATTTCCCAGCTGTCACCCCGGCCTACTTTCTGATTCATACCTGAGGAAAGGTGATGTTTCAGAGTTCCAATTAAAAAAAACAACTTTACAATTTTCAATGACAAATGCAGAATTAGAATAATATACTTTCATCAATATAATTCATTTTGTGCCTTTTATTTGGTTCTGAATAAGTCCCCACTTGCCTCTTAAGTTACACTATAAGGTCGAATCTACATGGGCACCTGACCATCAACCCTACTGTATGACCAAAAGGTGTGTGAACACCCCTCAAAATGACTGGGTGCACGTGTCTACAATGAAGGCTTCCGTTAATTCTACAGTATGAAAACAGCATTTTAAGGTGGAACTGAACCCATCAATTTAGCGGCATGCCGGGACTGATAACTGTTACAGTTGCTTGCGCTCGCAACCAAACTGTCAAACCATCAAAAAATGGTGTCATAACTGATCACATGTGCAGCACCATGGCAGATACAACAGATGGCAGCTTCCTTGGCTGAAAAGAATAGGAGGGTTTAGTTCCACTTTAAACAGTTGTGAGTTTCCAAACTTTCTGTTCCAGCATGACTGTGTACACAAAGCCTGCTTTATAAAGACATGTAAGCCTTCAAAGCCACACGCCACAACACTTTTTTTTTTTCTACAGTCGCCAATGAACTTTATAGACATTGAACAGTCAACCTGACATGTTAATTTGCGCCTGACGTGACTCCTCTGACACAGTTTACACAAAGCTGGACTTAGTAATAGGCCTTAGATGCAAAGAGGGAGGAGTGGCATTTGGTGGGTAAGAACATTGTTCAGATTGACTGCATTCAGTGTCGATAAAGTTCACTGTGATTGAAGGAAAAAAATAAAGTGTTGTGGAGCGCGGCTTGGCAGCAAAAAGGCAGATCCCGGAAGGATTGGTCCCCACAGCCAGTTGCTGCTTGGGGTCTTCTAGAGTGGTGTCATTTGGAGCTCTTATAGACATGTTTGATGAGTTTGGTGTGGAGGAACTCAAGTGTCCTGACCTCAACCCTACTGAACACCCGAAAGACTGTTTCACTCGGGCTTCAGCGTGTACAAGATCAGTGTGAACACCAAGCTTTGACAAAGCATTTGCAGAACTTTCAGGCAAGCATTGTTGAAGCTTTTAAGGTACAATTCAACTCCAGTTTGTAAATGTTGAACACAGATCCAAATGGGAGTGCTGACTGCCACTTTAAACAAGCTGCTAGCAGGCTTGGACAGGCTTTCAACAAGCTTCAAGAAGTTCTGAAGCAACTTGCCGTTTGTTTAAAACTCCTCACGCCAGCAGAACGCAAATGTGCGGCCTCCCGGTGTCTGGGCCTAGACCCCGAGCGGCCGCACATTTGCATTCTATAAAAAAAAACCCCATATGTGCTGAGAGCCCGTGCCCTGCGTGCTCCCAGCACACACGTCCGGTACTCACGGAAAGGTCCCAATCTCCTCTTTCGATTGGGACCTTTCCCAATCATGTGACCGACGTGACGGTGTGTCACATGACCCTAAACCCCGCCCCGCCTCCTGAAACCCTTAAAGGGCTGGGAGGCGCTGGCGCCAAGGGGTTAAAGTGGCAATCAGCACTCCCATTAGGATACGTGTTCAGCTTTCACAAACTGGAACTGAAGGGCACTTTAAGGCCTAGTTCACACTGACATTGAATACAGGTGTTTGAAGGGAATTTCTAATGCTCCTCAAATGCTTAAGCAGTTGATAATGTAGACATTGCACAGTGCTGTTCACATTATCAAAACATGAAGCGTTTGTTTGAAACTTGATGCTTCATGCCGAGTTTGAAAAAAGTTGAAGCATTTCAACTCCTTCCATTGAAGTCTACAGTAACAAAAGCACATAGGGCATTTGGGGGAGCATTTCTAACACTCATTAAACGCTTAGAAAACGCACCTATTAACGCACATTAATGTTATAGGCATGTTTGATAAGCGTCAGTATTATAAGCAAAGTGTGAACAAGCCATAAAAGCTTCAACGAAGCTTGCTGAAAGCTCTGCAAATACTTTGTCAAATCCTACTGTTCACTCAGCTCTGATACAAGGTGAAGCCTGTGTGAAACAGGCCTTAGGATAAACTAGAATGGCAGCCAACAACAGTACCTGTTCTCACAAATGCTCCTTTGGTTGAATGGCCACAAATTGCCACATTAATGCCTATGGTTTCGGAATGGGGTGTCCAACAGTAGGTGCGATGGTTAGGTGCCCACAAACATTTGTATAGTGTCTAGCTTTTGTTTTTTACGTAATTCATTTTGGACCGGTAAGGACCAGCGGTTTCCCACCGTCACCTGTCAAGTTGTATGACCCCATTCTCCAGCTCCTTCTGTATTTTTGTGTTGTATCTGTTAGCTATGAATGCCTGAGAGGCACCAAAGCAAAAAGGTTATGACAATTAATATCAGTTTAAAATTTATAACAAGGAGGAAGCACCTGCAGCATACCATATAGGAAAAAAAAATATAAAAGAGTCTTTACAAATGTCCCAAATCTTACAATAAACTGATTACGGAAAGTGTGATGGGGATTACAGACGATTGTCTTATGGAGGTGTAGTCCTTATTTCCATAAGGACTACATTGTTGTGCCATCAGTGTTGCGTGGTTGGAATCCTTCTCGCCGCGGACTGTTGAGGTCCCCTTGTGTAGTTACGACGCAGCGCACCAGAAGAATGTCGTTTTTAACAAACATCCGCTGCTTGAGTGTATGAAGGTGCATAAATGTGACGTAACCAAAGCCTTTGGGGTTTCGGGGCATTGTAGGCCTCTGAAAGGCCAGCAACTCTGGTTTGGTGTCCATCACTTCCTCCTGGTCTTGCAAATTAGATCCTTCTGATTGGTCCAAGATAGACAGGCGGATGGTTCCCTGAAACGGCCAGTGAAGGAGATTGTCGTATTCTCCTTGCATTGTGTGTACAAAGAGGGAGATATAGTTGGCACAGCGAGGGGCAGTAGGTAGCTGCAGGTGAAGGCGAAGACATAGCTTGTAACCTGGCTTTCCAGTGTAAAATCCTGGACTATGAATGACTACTGGTCTCTCCTCCTCCTGGTTTTTTACGTGGGCACTAAAATTATGGATCCTCCACACGAAGACACCATTGTACTGCTGAGCCTCCACTTCCACAAGCTTGTCCTCCAAGGTACGGATGGTTTGCTTTAGATCGGTTACTAAGACAGTCTGGGTTTCCATTTTGGCCATCAGCTCTCGGATCTGGTGGTCTTGCTTCACTAGACGTGCCTCCAATTGCTCGATGGTCTCCTTTAGCTGCTGCTGATCTTGACTGGCATCACGTTGTGAAGACATCAGACGAGAAGGCATTGTGAATCCTGAAGAAGGCCCAGGCTCGAACTGGCTGGGGTCAAGCTGCATGCTGGACATGTGAGAGGTCGGGGTGAGGGAGGTCCCGAAGCTTAGAAGATGATGTGCTATCATCCGCATGTGAGCCTGTGTGAACTCCTGCTGGTGCTGAGCGAGATCATCCCTCTGCATCTAGAGAGAAGAATAAAAGGTCTTAGCAGGTTTCTACATGCACCTACCAAATATTCTAAATCTACACCACCAAAGCAACATGTCATAACTCAAACTGAACCATCAAACTACTTGGATAGTTCAATAGATGGTGATATTTACCCACCGGGTCTGGCTTGCCTTAAAGGGTAACGCCACTTTTGTGGGAAAAGAAAATTGCAAATAAATAAATTAATTAAAAAATAAATAGCATATGCAATTGCAACACAAGTCATAATGTACCTGAATGTTATTAAAACTGACCTTTCCTTTTAAATCTGCAGCGCTGTAATTCTCTGTAAAAGGCAATTTGGAGGCGTTCCATACACAGATTGTGTACAGAACGCCCCCAGATATGTCATTTCCTGCTTGTGTGATTGGCTCACTGATTTTCCCAGAAGTCTGCACTAAGATACAAGTTGGACAAACTTGTAATTTTTGGTGAGATACTCCCAAAGGGAATTCACATCTAAAAGGGATGCAGACCCTGCCACTTTCCTCATTAGAGACCTGTATAGAAGTTACTCTTTAAAAAAGTGAGCAAAAAAAAAACCATCAGTGCTAAAGGTGAATGGGAACCCCAAAATACGTATGTCTATGAAGGAGATATAGGGTAGATCTTTCGATCTCATCAGACCCAAGGTGAAACTGATCTTGATGGAAGCTGCAATATATAGGCATTGCTGCCCACTTCAGATAGGTGAAAATCCTTAACTAACAGCTGAGACAAAACGCAAAAAAAAAAAAAAAAAGGCCAACAGCCTAGTGCATTATTCTAAGTCAATTTCACTGGATAGAAATATAACTACATTGTACCTACAAAAGTAGGGGATTACAAGCAGAAGATAAATCTAATCCAGGTTAACAAGTGCTGCCTGTAGGAATATTGTAGGATGTATGTATATATAATATATATATATATATATATATATATATATATATATATATATACACACACACATACATATACACACACATAACATACATACATATATATATATGAAAACACATTAGCTACGCCCTTGTGGATGGGCAGTGTTGTCTTAATTTATACATATATATATATATATATATATATATATATAATATATATATATATATACGCACACACATACATTACACAATTACACACACACACATATATATATATATATTATATATATACACATATATACACACACACCACACACATACATATATATATATATATATATACACATATATACACACACACATACACTCCATATATATATATATATATAACATATACTACACTACACAATCATACATATGTATATATATACACATTATATATACACACATATATACACACACACATACACATATATATAGCCTACACACCACACATACATACATATATATATATATATATATATATATATATATTATACCATTATATACTACCTCCCTCATATATATACCAAATACCACCCAAACACTTTTCAGTACGCTTTGCTCCTCACAAGACCTCCTAGTCTCCAGTTCCCTGGTGTCCTCCTCCCATGCCCGACTCCAGGACTTCTCCAGGTCTTCCCCCATCCTCTGGAACTCACTACCCCAATCCATCAGACTGTCACCTACCCTCCTCACCTTTAGGCGCACCCTGAAAACCCATCTCTTCAGGGAAGCCTACCCCACCCTCACCTAACAGCCGATCTCTTCTACTCCTCCTACCACTCCATCCTCCACAGCCATTCCCTCCTGTACCACTATCCCCTCCCTCCTAGATTATAAGCTCCAAGGTGCAGGACCCTCGAACCCCTCGTGTATTGTATTGTTACTGTATCGTCTCATGTACTGCCCCCCACTATAATGTACAGCGCTGAGCAAACTTTTTGGCGCTATATAAATACTGTATAATAATAATAATATATATATATATATATATATATATATATATATATATATATATAGACACACACACACACACAACACTGCTGCCCATCCACAAGGGCATAGCTAACATGTTTCAAGGGCAGCGCCCTCTTCATCAGAGTTCTGATTAGGAGAGCACTGCTCTTGAAATGCGTTAGCACCATGTAACAAAGTCTCATAAAGCAGTTATATTATGTGTAAAGCTTCATCCTCACCTTTTCGGTGCATCCAAACTGGCTGTACATACATGGAATAGGGGCCTTTATACAGTCCATGCTATAGTGACAGGCCATCTGGAAAACAACAGTGAAATACTTATTTGTACTAATTACAGATTCCTACAAATGATAAAAAAATGGTGCTAAAGTATAATGATAAAAGTAAAGCAACCGGTCCCGTGTTAAAGGCTTTGGGCTTCAGTCGATGGCATCTGTTTGGCTTCAGTTTGAGACAATTTTGAGTTAATTCAGAATTCACTGACAGATGCATCTGACCTGCAGTTATACTTCTGAACTGCTTCAAGCAAAAACAACATTCCCATAGAGTTGTATAGGAATCCAAAAGCTGCTTCAAGCAAACAAAAACCCACCAGCACAGATTCTAAAAATGTTAGTGAATTATACTTTTAAAAGGATACGTTCATTATCATAATCTTCAGATCGCAGGTACAATGCCAAGTTCCTGCAGATGGTCGGTGTGTAGTTGTCTGCCCATACCTCGTACGGTCCGGCAGTTATTGAATGACAGGAAAGATCAATGAAATACCCAGAGTGCTCATCAGCGCCCTGGTAGCTCATTGAGAAAACAACAGTCGTATTTGTAGTTCTCCCATTGACTGGACTCTATGAATGAGTGACAGGGACAGGTGGGCGGAGACCCACACGGCTGCAGTATTTTTATGATCAATCTGAGTTTGAGGTTTTATATAAAATTTAAGGTAACAACATAGACAAATTTGAGGTAAAAACATAGACATTTGCAATAAAATACAAAACAGAAAATACAGAATTAGGGTTAGGGGGAGCAGAATAAAAAGGGGGAACACAATAATATCCACAGTAAACAAAGAGAGAAACATGGAGAAAAAAAAGAGGGGGGGGGGGGGGAATACATAAAACAAAAAAGGAAAACGGATAAATAAATAAAAACAATAATATACAACAATAAAACAATAACACCCTGGAGCTAGATGACAGCAGTAATTGACAGCAAGGGGTCAGTGGGTTGGGTGCAATGGCTGCTCAGTTAGTAACATGTTACGCCCTTACGCTCCACGCAGACTAGCGGTTTTTTTTTTTTATAAGCTCAAAAAAGACGCTAGAAAAAAAAAAAAGTGGATGAAAACACTGATAATAGTGTTTTTTTTTTTTTAGTGCCGTCTGGTACTAGCGTTTAGAAGCATTTAGAAGCATTAGTGTTTTATTAGCATTTTTTTTTTACAGTACACTTAGTGAAAAAAGCTGTCAGGAGTGCTTTAGTAGCATCTGACAGAAAAACGCCCCAAAAAAACTCTTGTCCCGAGTATAGGATCTGCGTTTGTCCCGAGTATAGGATCTGCGTAAAAACCGAGTAAAAGGGATCTGCGTTGTCCCGAGTATAGGATCTGCGTCTGTCCCGAGTATAGGATCTGCGTCTGTCCCGAGTATAGGATCTGCGTCTGTCCCGAGTATAGGATCTGCGTCTGTCCCGATCAATGCGTCTGTCCCGAGTATAGGATCTGCGTCTGTCCCGAATAGGATCTGCGTCTGTCCCGAGTATAGGATCTGCGTCTGTCCCGGAGTATAGGATCTAAAATCTGTCCCGTGTAGTATTTGTCCTGAGTAGTAGATCTAGGTTTGTCCCGAGTTTAGATCTAGGTTTGTCCCGAGTGTAGATCTAGGTTTGTCCTGAGTGTAGATCAAGGTTTGTCCCGAGTGTAGATCTAGGTTTGTCCCGTGTGTAGATCTAGGTTTGTCCCGAGTGTAGATCTAGGTTTGTCCTGAGTGTAGATCAAGGTTTGTCCTGAGTGTAGATCAAGGTTTGTCCCGAGTGTAGATCTAGGTTTGTCCCAAGGTTTGTCCCGAGTGAGTGTAGATCAAGGTTTGTCCCGAGTGTAGATCAAGGTTTGTCCTGAGTGTAGATCTAGGTTTGTCCTGAGTGTAGATCTAGGTTTGTCCTGAGTGTAGTAGATCTAGGTTTGTCCCGAGTGTAGATCTAGAGTTTGTCCCGAGTGTAGATCTAGGTTTGTTTAGATCTAGTCCTGAGTGTAGATCTAGGTTTGTCCTGAGTGTAGATCAAGGTTTGTCCTGAGTGTAGATCTAGGTTTGTCCCGAGTGTAGATCAAGGTTTGTCCTGAGTGTAGATCAAGGTTTGTCCTGAGTGTAGATCTAGGTTTGTCCCGAGTGTAGATCAAGGTTTGTCCTGAGTGAAGATCAAGGTTTGTCCTGAGTGTAGATCAAGTTTGTCCCTGAGTGAAGATCTAGGTTTGTCCTAAGTATAGATCTAGGTTTGTCCTAGATCTAAGGTTAGGTTTGTCCTGAGTGTAGATCTAGGTTTGTCCTGAAGTATAGATCAAGGTTTGTCCTGAGTGAAGATCTAGGTTTGTCCTGAGTATAGATCTAGGTTTGTCCTGAGTGTAGATCTAGGTTTGTCCTGAGTGTAGATCTAGGTTTGTCCTGAGTGTAGATCTAGGTTTGTCCTGAGTGTAGATCTAGGTTTGTCCTAGTGTAGATCTAGGTTTGTCCTGAGTGTAGATCTAGGTTTGTCCTGAGTGTAGATCTAGGTTTGTCCTGAGTGTAGATCTAGGTTTTGTCCTGAGTGTAGATCTAGGTTTGTCCTGAGTGTAGATCTAGGTTTGTCCTGAGTGTAGATCTAGGTTTGTCCTAGTGATCTCTAGGTTTGTCCTGAAAATAGATCTAGGTTTGTCCTGAGAAAATAGATCTAGGTTCGTCCCAAGCATGAAAGCAAAAAGTCATGGGCAGAACAAAAACATCGGTCCCTCCCGACACCTTTCCCTGGCTCTCCCGAAGGTGTCCAACATGGCAACACCTAAGACACTGTAACAGCCCCATGGAGAGGAAATTATTTTAGGCAGTTTATCCTACCTTCAAGTACTACTTCCCAGTTATTACCATTAGGACAGAAAACAGCTTTTCCATGACCTGGGCATAGGTTTGCTTTAAGATCAACTGAGAGAGATTTCCAACACAGCCAGAGAATGTGGTGGCATTCAGCAAACAAAACAGTAGATTAAGAAGGAAAACATGCTTTAAAAAAAAAAAAAAAAACTTAACAGGAAGTGTGTACCTGATGTCGCACAAGGCCGCTGGTCTCACAATATTCACAAGTCACATAGGCCAAAGGGCACGTTTGTTCATGATCCTGCATTGGGAGGTAAAGGATACTCGTTCTCAAAAGCATGTAATAACAAAATACCCATACAAGACTGCCTGTGTACTGCATGTTAGACCGTGGAAGGACATTCACAAACAATCGTAATGCCAAATGGGCTGTCTATCCTGCAAATGTGCACGTGTCTACCTGCACATAGTTCCCCTGTAGAGTACACTGAATAATCCAAAGCCTATAAGTCCCATTTCCATAAACTAGTTGCCATTGTGTGACGTTGCATGGGGGTCTTCAAGGTAGAACACCATACCCCTTACATGGCATGGTTCACATGGTCTCTGCTGTGGAGGATTATAGTCCAGGCAGATATTGATCGGGCTTTCTAATAACAAGCATTTTGACATACACATCAGGTCAAAATTTAAAGTGATCCCATAATGCTTTTTGGTAAACTTTATTTTTACATTTTTTTTTTTTAACATTTTGACGTTTATCCCTTTCCAGCTGGCTATTTAACACCAGGGGCACTGCGTTCGTTTTCTGGTCATGTGACCATCACTGTGGCTGTCACAGTGACCACATGATTGGCAGCATGTCCCACCAGCTCCTAATCATAGTGAGTGCAAGGTCACAGGTCAGGGGCACCGACTGAGAAAACTCCCAACACAGCATAGCAACCTTGGTTTGTACATATGTAAGTGGCAGTTTGGTGCTAAAGCCCACCTCTGTGCCACCACGTATATGCGCATAGCTGGCATTAGCGGTTAAATATTAGCATCAAATATTTCACTTACAAAAAATATTTACAGTGAGTACAGAAAAGAATCACTCCCCTTTAACATAATCACATTTTGTCGCTTTGCAGCCTGAAATGAAGCCCACTTCCTTGATTAAGTGCATCGCACGAAACGCGTCAGGGCTGCAGCAACTGGACATCCAACCACAGCCATCCTGAATATATGGTCAGTAACTTTTTTGTGAAATTTTGAAATTTATTATAATACCCACTATCCTTGAATAAAAGGTACCTTAAGCAGTATCACGCTATGTGGTCTCTTATTGGGCACTCTGTGTGAGTGCCATCATTCACAGTGCCCATCTGGAGAAAAGATGACCCTGATGGTGATATCTGGTAGCGGGTCCTGGTGACCTTTTCTGTGGAGCTTGGATGGTGATTCGTATGGTATCCTGACCCCCTGATGACCTATCTATGGCCTGGTGACGCAGGATTAAATATTGTGCATTTTAAACGCACATCTGGTGAGTGCGTTTTTCATCCATTCGTTTGGTTTGCACCTGTTGTCACTCCCGGATCAGGACGTCCACACACTTGGAATTGTGATCTCTTCGTGATCCACACAATCATATTGAACTAATTATATCACTAATAATCACCTTAAATAAGGTGATACCACGTATCCACATATGTTTGAAATAGCATGATATTGTGTATATTAAAGTGTATTATTATTTAGCGCTGCACCAACTTACTTGAATATATATGAACTGAAATGAAGACAGACACTGTTTTTGTTTTATCCAGCTGTATTTACTTATTGTAAATTATACCATCCAATGGAAAGATAGAACACCAACATGTCGGAAAAAAATTAAATAATCAAAAACAGAATCACTGAGTTGGAAAAAAGATTCCCCCCCCCCCCCTTGTGTCAGTATTTTGTTGATCCACCTTTTGCTTTAATTCCAGCCTTTAGTCTGATGGGATAGGTCCAAACCAACTTTGCCCATCTAGACTTTATTTGCAGAACTGCTCAAGCTCCATCAACCCCTTCACGCCGGTGCCTCCCGGCCTTTTAAGAGTTTCAGAAGCCGGGACGGGGTTTAGGGATCACGTGACCGCCGTGACACACCATCACGGCGGTCACGTGATTGGGAAAGATCCTGATTGAAAGAGAAGACCGGGACCTTTCCGTGAGTACCGGACATGTGCTGGGAGCTGGGAGCGCGCAGGCACATATGTTTTTTTATAATTGAACGCAAATGTGTGGCCGCTTGGCGTCTAGGCCCAGATGCCGGGAGGCCGCACATTTGTGTGCGGCTGGCGTGAAGAGGTTAAATTTGATAGTGACTGCTTGTGGATTGCAGTCTTCAAATCATTCCACAGATTTCCAATGGAGTTTAAGTCTGGGCTCTGACTAGGTCATGCAAGGACATTCACCCTTTTCTCCTTCAAGCACCGTGGGCTCATTTTTGCTGTGTGCTTTGGGTCATTGCCATGTTGGAAGGTAAACCTTCTCAATGACAACTTTCTGGCAGAGGGCAGTAGATTTTCCTAAAGAACGTGATGGTATTTTGCCCATCCATTTTTCCTTCTACCCTGACAAGTGATCCAGTCCCTGTTGCAGAGAAACCCCCCATAACAGCATATCCCCCCTCCATACTGAAGGAATGGTGGTATTTGAATAATGAGCTGGATTGGATTTCCGCCAGACATATTGCTTGATGTTGAGGCCAAAATCGTTCAATTTTAGTCTCATCTGACCAGAACACCTTTTTTCATGTGGCCTCAGAATCTTCACAGTGTGTTTTGGCAAAGTTCAGTGGTGATTGCATGCGGCCTATCTTGAGGAGCGGTTTTGTTCTTGCAAACCTCCCATACAAGCCACATTTGTGGAGAATTTGTGATATTGTTGTCACCTGCACACAATGACCACTCTTTGTCAAATTCCTGGAACTGCTTCAGAGTTGCTGGAGGCCTCTTGGTAGCCTCTCTGACCAGTTTCCTCCTGGCTCTTTCTTCCAGTCTGGAGCGACATCCTGTTCCAGGGAGGGTCTGTGTTCTACAAAATACCTTCCACTTCTTAATAATAGACTTCACTCTGCTTCTAGGTATTGATAAAGCCTTTGAAATGTTTTTGTATCCATCTCCTGACTTGTGCCTGTCCACAACTTTATCCCAGACAATGACAATGCCTTACCACCCACAGATGACAAAATATGTATGAAATACCTACAGCGCAATGGATCTCCTATACATCAAATATTGCAGCTAGCATGTAAAGTGTTCCCACATATAAACCATAAATCAACAAATTGCAGCGCAGTACTATAAACTCAAAGTGTTAAATAAATCAATATACATATGTGAATACAATCGTGCTATGTGATAATAATATGTGCTACATCACATGAATATCAACACATATATGTAAATAAATTGCATATACCAGTGGTAAATAATAATATATCCAAATACCAAATGAATCATATATACGGTGAATTGTCCCTTTAATACTCCAAAATCTTCTCATGTGCTTATGCGATATGTCTCCTATGCATCATATACAATCAAGCAGGGTGGATAAAAATCAATGATTTTTTTTAAAAAAAATCAAAAAAAATCTGATTTTTTTTATTTAAATCGGATTTTTTTTTTTATTTAAATCGGATTTTTGTAAATAAAATGCTTTTTGAGGAAAATATATTACCATCCAAAGGTTATTCCATCATGAAATAAAGATTAGTTTTTTAATTATGTAGAATAAGGCTGTATATGTTTAATTTTTTTGGTAAATAAATTCCATGAATCCATTCACAATGTCATGCTCTTCCAGAGGTTTTTGTAAGATTATTGGGCAGTTTCTCTGCCTACAAGATATTATCACAGATGTTTGGTTTACTTTTGCAGTTCTCAAAACTGAATTTGACTCAGCGGAGATCACATGCCTCTTCTTCACAGCAAAAATGTTATAACATGAACAGAGTTAAGAAAAAGACCTTCATCCTAACTTCTACAAACCTATGAATACAGAATCAACCCCTTCACTGCTAAGTTTCAAGAAGTTCAGTAAATAGAATAGAAACAATATTTTTCTGATTTTTTGGAGTGGAATAGATCTGCACAAGAAGAAAGTGAAACGAAGTGTGAGGAGGAAGGGGCTGACAGTCGAAGTTTCTTCAAATATATATATTTTGTTTAGCCAAATTAGTTAACAAACATGGATGTTTAAGAAAATCACATATGCTGGAATGTTATTGTTTCAGATGAATAAATCTATTTAAATTATTATTAAGGTAATGATTATTTTTCTCCTTCCTAAGTACAACAGAAAAGTTGTCCAAATATGAATGATTAACCTATTAAACTGGGGATAAAAAAACTAATATGAAAAGTTGTTATTCTAAAAATCTTCATCTACTTGTATCTTAAAGTTATACCAGCAAGAATTAGTCTTTATGTAGAAAACTAGGATTTATATCAAGCCTTACTGACTAGTGATTTAAATCGTGATTTAAATCAAATCCACCCTGCAATCAAGCAAGTGCTCCAGTTGCACTGCCGGGGACTGAAATGCTCCAGGAAAGCTCTTTTCATGCTGAGCTAATCAAAATGACCACAGCTGATCACGGTTGAAAGTTAAATGGCTGAGAAAGCAATTAGCTACACCTGATTGAGTTTAAAAAGTCATTTTATGGAGGGGGTGAACCTTCATCCAACTCAATGATTCTGTTTTTGAATTTTCTACATTAAAATTTTTGTTGATGTTAGATTTTTCACTTGGATGCTATAAACTGCTTTTGAAATACAGCTAGATAAAACAAAAATTGTGTTTGTCTTCATTTCAGGTTGCAAAGCAACAAAATGTGATTATTTTACAGGGAGGCGATTCTTTTCTATACCCACTGTACTACAGGGCACATCCATGACACTCGGTTTGCTGAGCCTTCTAGTAAATGGCGCGGCCTGCTTGTCGTCACCCAACTAAGCCAGATGGTTCCATTTTGCTGGTAGAGATGGAGATGGTGCCTCTCTGTGACTCGCTGAACTGTCTGTGTAAACCTTTCTTTCTGGCTATTCAAGTGTGTTTTTGCAACTGTATATAATAAACATATAAAGAAATTCATAACGCCTAATAAAACAAACCCCCCACAATATATTCTCTTTAATCAGAATCAGCGGATCATTTATTTCCAGTTGTTTACAGCAAGAGAAATGCTAAAATCTGGATCTTTTAGTAATCAAAATCCTAACACTGACGTACAAAGCCGTCCACCATACTGCCCCAAACTACATCACTGACCTAATATCCAAGTACCGCCCAGCACGCACACTCCGCTCCTCACAAGACCTCCTTCTCTCTAGTTCCCTGGTCTCCTCCTCCCATGCCCGCCTCCAGGACTTCTCCAGGGTGTCACCCATCCTCTGGAACTCCCTGCCCCAACCCATCAGATTATCACCTACTCTCCTCTCCTTTAGGCGCACCCTGAAAACCCATCTCTTCAGGGAAGCCTACCCCACCCCCTGCTAACTTGCCGACCTCCTCCACTCTTCCTACCACTCCATCCCCCACAGCTATCTCCTCCTGTGCCACCATCCCCTCCCTCCTAGATTGTAAGCTCGAAAGAGCAGGGCCCTCAATCCCCTCATGTCTTGCATTGTATTGGTATTGTTCTGTCACATGTTCTGTCCCCCTTTGTAATGTACAGCGCTGAGCGAACTATTGGCGCTTTATAAATACTGTATTATAATACCGGAGAACTGGGGCTCAGAAACCTGTTACAGCCCCCTATAATAATTCTCTGTTTAGTAGCCCCCGACTCACCATCTTCTCCTCATAGGGCATAGATACAAGGCAGTTTTCACAGCACACTTCTCGCCTCGGACACACCACCATGTGTTGCTGCATTTGGCTTCTCTGGAGGAGTTGTTGGCACTGTCGGCATTCCACGCTGGCAAACTCACAGAGTGCTTGGTGATTCTGCACACAGAGATCACAATGAAAGAATTAAAGACCCAGGAGGTGAAAAAACACAGAGCATTCTGATGATGGTACAGGCATGAGCCATTTAAAGTGGATGCATTCCTCAGACATGAAAAAGGAACAATGCATATCCCTCTATAGTGTGCACTTGTCTCAATCCAGAGCATTGAGTGTCATTTCTGTCTGCTGCTTCCTTCTTCTACTATTAGCATCAGTGACATCTGACAAGTTTTCCTGACACCAAGAGAATAAAGGTGACAGGAGAGTGCTCCAGAACACACCCTGCGATTGAGATCCTCAGCTCTTTTATTGAGTGCTGTGGGAAGGGAGGTGTGTCCCTTCCCTCAAATCAGCTCTCAGAGCTGTCCTCACTGAGCTCTGTAGAGTGCAACATCAGCTCCCTGCCCCTGCTTTTCAAAGCTGAGAGATCCTGTGTAAATGCTGCAGTTTGAATGGGCTGCAGATAAACAAGTACAATTTATGTAGGAGGATTTGTTTCATCTCTGGGTATCACCTGTGGCCAGTCACCTCCCTGGGTATATGTAAGGGTTTACAACCACTTTAAACATTTCTTAAAGGCTAGGTTCAATTTTGAAAGAAAAAAAAAGTGCGTTTATAATTTTTTATTACGATTTTTTTTTTTGTTTTACAGGAGCATGCAAAGCACTGCACCCATGATCGGTGAGTGTAATGCCAGGCTCCAGCAAACTCCCCCTCCAGCTCTCTACCTCCCTATAGGCCAGTGGTTCTCAACCTTCCTAATGCCGTGACCCTTTAATACAGTTCCTCATGTTGTGGTGACCCCCAACCATAAAATTATTTACCCAGTAATTATAATTCATGAAGTGTCCTTTTACCTCCAATACTGCTGCTTTCAGCACAGTAGTTGCTTTTAAGAGAGTAGCTGCTTTCAGCACAGTAGCTGCTTTCAGCACAGTAGCTGCTTTCAGCACAGTAGCTGCTTTCAGCACAGTAGCTGCTCTTTACACATTGGAAATATGTGTTTTTCCGATGGTCTTAGGTGACCCCTGTGAAAGGGTTGTTTGACCCCCAAAGGGGTCGCGACCCACAGGTTGAGAACCACTGCTATAGGCTGCCAGTTGCAGAACTGGAGGAAGATTCAATTGACTATGAGTGCACCGATTACCGCACAAGTAGTCCATTTAGAGTGATGCCATCTGCTGTGGTGGCACTTGAAGGGCTTGAACTTCATTCGTTCACAGATGTCCATGAATGAACGACACGGCTGTGTGGGTAGAGCTGCGGCAATTTTAAAATTTGACAGCGACTGTAGGGGGGGGGGGGGGGGAGGGGAGGGATTGAGATTGGGCAAGTGTAAGTGTAAGGTAAGTGTTTGGTGGGGGGGAATCTTCTAATAAAAGACTTTTCACCTTAATGCAGGGAAATGCTAGAACCTCAGTCTACCTTTTATTGTTGCCCATTTCCCTGTTGCAGATTTTCCCTCACTTCCTGTCTAGTTAACATCCCCCACTGGATGTTAACTGGTTGTATTTGCCAGTTTCAACAGATCCTTTATTTGTTTTATATAGAATGGGTTAAGATTCGGACCCCTGTCCATCCCCCACTGGATGTTAACTGGTTGTATTTGCCAGTTTCAACAGATCCTTTGTTTTATAAAGAATGGGTTAGGATTTGGACCCCTGTCCATCCCCCACTGGACGGGGGTCCGAATCCCAACCCATTCTATATAAAACAAACAAATAAAGGATCTGTTGAAATTGGTAAATATAACCAGTATAGAGTTTAGCTTGTATCCTGGGAAATGGTAGAGCCGGTCACACACATACATCCAAAGCAGCGTTGTCGCCATCCCTGCCGGAGGTCAACCTTGCTGGTCCTCTCCTCTGTCATGGAGATGAGGAGAGTGGAAGGTGCTCTGTAGTCCAGCAGGGGACAGCATGACAGATTTACTACAGAACGCTTAAGCCATAAAATTCTCCTTCAGCTGCTCTAAAATAGTCACGTGAAACATGACCCTGGCCACTACTTCATTTTGCAGCTTTTTTTTTTTTTTTTTTTAAGATTGAAAAATGATAAATCCAATGATAAATCTGTTGTATTTGGCTCCCCAGGGTTACAGGCTTTGGTGTGGGACACACTGATATGTGTCTAAAACTGACTATTCACTATCAATCCTCATCCATTCTAAACAGCATGTATGGAGGAATCTGCCAGCTACTGAATTATGACAGCTGGAAACCTCCACTGTGTGAATACCCAAACAGTGGCTGCATCTAACTGAATGTGTCTAAACAGCATGTATGGAGGAATCTGCCAGCTACTGAATTATAACAGCTGGAAACCACAGCTATGTGAATACCCAAACAGTGGCTGCATCTAACTGAATGCAGCCGGCATTCAGCCAACAGTTTTCTGCCTGATGCTTGTGATTTTCAGATGGAAGGATGTCAGGCAGCATATTGCCGACATAGCGACCCACTGCATGATCTTCGGTGAATTAATGATTTCCTTCTGAATATGGTCAGCTTAGAAGTGTTGCCAATTTGTTTCATAAATGTTGTTTGTTGTCAGCCCACTATAGGAAGGTAGGAGATCACTGGATTTCTGGAAGGATCAACAAGTATTTTTCTGAACTTGCAGCATTTTAAAAGGGATATAACATGAGGAAATACACTATATTGCCAAAAGTATTGGCCCAGCCCCAAATCATGTGATTCAGGTGTTCCAATCCCCTCCATGGCCACGGATGTATAAAATCATCACCTAGGCATGCAGACGGCTTCTACAAACATTTGTGAAAGAATGGGTCGCTCTCAGGAGCTCAGTGACTCCAAGCGTGGTCCCGTGATAGGTTGCCACCTGTGTAATAAGTCCATCCGTGACATTTCCTGGCTACTAAATATTCCACGGTCAAATGTTAGTGGGATTATAACAAAGTGGAAGCAACTGGGAACAACAGCAACTCAGCCACCAAGTGGTAGGCCACGTCACATGACAGAGCAGGGTCAGCGCATACTGAAGCGCACAGAAGTCACCAGCTAACTGCCGGCAGAGTCAATAGCTAAAGACCTTCAAACTTGGTGTGGCCTTCAGATTAGCACAACAACAGTGCGTAGAGAGCTTCATGGAATGGGTTTCCATGGCCGAGCAGCTGCATCCAAGTCTTACATCACCAAGTGCAATGCAAAGCGTCGGATGCCGTGGTGTAAAGCACGCCACCACTGGACTCTAGAGCAGTGGAGATGTGTTCTCTAGAGTGACCAATCATGCTTCTCTGTCTGACAATCCAATGGATGTGTCTGGGTTTGGCAGTTGTCAGGAGAACGGTACTTACCTGACTGCATTGTGAAAAGTGTAAAGTTTGGTGGAGGGGGGATTATGGTGTGTGGTTGTCTTTCAGGGGCTGGGCTTGGCCCCCTAGTTCTTGTGACGGGAACTCTTAAGGCGTTGGCATACCAAGACATTTTGGACAATTTCATGCTCCCAACTTTGAGGGAACAGTTTGGGGATGGCCCCTTCCTGCTCCAACATGACTGCGCACCAGTGTACAAAGCAAGGTCCATAAAGACATGGATGAGTGTTTGGGGTGGAGGAACTTGACTGGCCTGCACAGAGTCCTGACCTCAACCCCATAGAACACCTTTGGGATGAATTAGAGCAGAGACTGTGAGCCAGGCCTCCTCCCCCGACATCAGTGCCTGACCTCACAAATGTACTTCTGGAAGAATGGTCCAACCTTCCCATAGACACCCTCCTAAACCTTGTGGACGGCCTTCCCAGAAGAGTTGAAGCTGTTATATCTGCAAAGGGCGGGGCCAACTCAATATTGAACCCTACGGACTAAGACTGGGGGGCCATTACAGTTCATGTGCGTGTAAAGGCCGGCCGACCAATACTTTTGGCAATATAGTGTGTGAATATATTGCAGAGATGCATTTGTATTTTTAAAAAATATTGCCCAGACTTATTTATAAAGCAATGACAGTTGCCAAACATTCACTACAGGTGTATCTTTTAGGTCCATGTGTTTTAAATTGCAGTGATTGGTTCACCTGGGATGAATGTTACACAAACTGTTTTATAATATGCAATCAGACTAGTCAATCAACAGGATTTTCTACAACCAACCCCAAGTCAGTACAGTAGGAAAGGATTGAACTGATAACTTTTCTAATCTGGTTTTGCTCACCTCCAGGTTCCTCAGCTCCATCTTGCCCGAGCAACCTTGACTAGGACATTTCACCATAAGTGAAAGGATTTCTCTCTTGGCAAAGTTATCCGGGAATAGCTGGTGCTCTAAGAGAAGATCGTTATCCACAGGACACTTTGGGCCCGGCGTCTCTGAAAAACACAGCAAGGCATTGGAACCATCACACTATTAGAAGGCAGTGCCTATAGACATGCGATTATTGAAAGTCCACAGAACAGCTATAAATACTGAATGAAACCTATAGAGCTCATGATACATATATTCAAATGAAGAGCCCTATGGAAATGTGCAAGTCCAGGTGCAGGAATGATTGATTGGATGGATGGATGGATGGATGGATAATAACAGTAATGCATTAGATAAGCTGAAGAAGAAACAGGAAGGCGTTTCTAAGTGTAGTATTCCAAGGTCAACTTTTTATAAAAGTGGTTAAAAAACACTTACAATGTAGTAGTATAACCACTTCCATACCAGGCACTTTTACCCCCTTGCTGCCCAGGCCAATTTTCAGGTTTCACACTTTGAATGACAATTGCGCGGTCATACAACATTGCACCCAAACTAAAATTTTATCATTTTCTTCACACAACTAGAGATTTCTTTTGGTGGTATTTAATCACTGCTGGGGTTTTTAGTTTTTTTTTTGCTAAATTAACAAAAAAAGACTGAAAATTTTGAAAAAAAAAAACATGTTTTTCTTGGTTTCTGTTATAAAAGTTTGCAAATAAATAATTGTTCTTCATAAATTTAGGCCGAGATGTATTCTACTACATGTCTTTGGTGAAAATAACCCAAATTAGGATGTATTATTTAGTTTGTAGGAAAGTTATAGAGTTCACAAACTATGGTATAGATCTGAATATTGATCAGTCCTGAAGTACTGACAGCCAATCTAATTTCTTGAGGTCCAAGAAAGTCAGAACAGTACAGATATCCCCCAAATGTCAGGACAGTACAGATATCCCCCAAATGTCAGGACAGTGCAGATATCCCCCAAATGTCAGGACAGTACAGATATCCCCCAAATGTCAGGACAGTACAGATATCCCCCAAATGTCAGGACAGTACAGATATCCCCCAAATGTCAGGACAGGACATATATCCCCCAAATGTCAGGACAGGACATATATCCCCCAAATGACCCCTTTTTGCAGAGTAGACAGTCCGGCGTATTTCATAAGAGGCATGGCAAGTTTTTTGAAGTTGTATTTTTTTTGTTATAATTTTTCAGAAAATGAAGAAATAAAAAAAATTATTTTCACTATTTTTTTTTTTTTTTACATACACCAGTGTAGTACAGCGTCATCATATAACTGGCATGGCGGTGATCAGGGACATTAACTGGTGACAGTATGAAAAAAAAAATTGATAATTTTTGTAAATTTTTTTTATTTTTAATTTGTTACATTTGTTTCTCTTTTTTTTTTAAGATTTATTTTTCATATTTCACTATGACCAAAGTAGTATAATGTTACCATAGTAACATTGTACTACTTTGGGGAAGTGATCAGTTTTTTATTTTTTATTTTTACACAATTTGCTTATAGCAAAGAATTACTTTGCTATAAGCAAGCATTTACCTGAATGACATTGATTCATTCAGGGTTTTTTTTTTTTTTTGCGATTAGCTGTGATTTGGCCATGGCTAATCACATGACACAGCTGGGATGTGATTGGCCGAGCTTGTGAATGTGATCGCTGTGACCATTCACAGCTAGACACACTTGTAAACAATGGATGGCATGAAAGGAAGCCATCCTTTGTATACAACTGTCATGTGACCTGCTGTGATTGGTCACAGCAGGTCACATGGTACTGGCAACAGGGCCGGTACACAGATCTGTCTGAAGTACACGGCCGGTGTCAGATCGCGCTGCAGTGCAGCCCTGCGGGCATGCACAATGCGCATTCTGGAAAGGACGCCATGTGGCGTCCACCCGGAGGGACGAGCCGTTCGCCCGGCAGCCATCTGGCTATAGGCCGGGCGGCAACTGGATAAAAAGGCTCTAATGTAATCAGTCAATAGCAGGGCTCTGTCCTCTAAGCGATGGAGCCGCTGTGCCAGCCAGCATCTGCAGGGGGAGCTTGAGAAGAGGTGTTAAAGATGGCTACAGCTCTATCCAGACTGCTGTAGCGCACGCTGGAACGCATGCTGTCCACAGACCCCCAAAGGGTCTTGAAGAAGGAGCTCTGCGCATGCTCCGAAACGCGTCACCGCTCCATGCTCACGTCACTTTCGGTTCGTGGACAGTGTGCGTTCCAGCGTGCGCGCTCCAGTGTTTTTAACCGCTTTTATTAAAAGTTGACCTTGTAATACTGCACTTAGAAGCGCCTTCCTGTTTCATCCTCTTCTGCGCAGAGTTTGCTTCCACTCTTTAGAAATGCTGCTCAGTACCGGTTTTCCTATACATCATCCATCATTGGCTGCCATTCTTCCACAGCATCGTCCACCGACGAGCCCTGCTACCCACTTTATGCATTAGATCAGCAAATCACGTCATTAATATTAAGTAGGCAGCACCAATAAATCCTGCAGGGATCAACAAAGTCTCTGTCTAGGCCAGTGGTTCTCAACCTTCCTAATGCCACGACCCTTTAATACAGTTCCTCATGTTGTGGTGACCCCCAACCATAAAATTATTTACCCAGTAATTATAATTCATGAGTGTCGTTTTACCTCCAATACTGCTGCTTTCAACACAGTAGCTCCTTTTAACAGTAGCTGCTTTCAACACAGCAGCTGCTTTCTACACAGTAGCTGCTCTTTACACATCGGAAATATGTGTTTTCCGATGGTCTTAGGTGACCCCTGTGAAAGGGTCGTTCGACCCCCAAAGGGGTCGCGACCCACAGGTTGAGAACCACTGGTCTAGGAGTTTATAGTCTCATACCTTCCACCATGTTCCCCTCTGCTCAGCCATGCTAGTCAGCAAGCAGCAGGTATTAATTCCCGTTTGTGATTTTAATAGGAGACATTAATGCAATCATTGACAAATATATGAGGAAGTGACACCATACTAAGGTGCGTTCCTTTGTTAATCAATAAACCACCAAAAGAGCAGCTGACCCACAGATTCCTCCACACCTCACCTTCATACCCAGTATATGATGAACTTCAGCATAGAGGAGAACTCCACGCCGGTATAAAAGACGCACAATAATGTGGAACTACACCGCATTTAAGTACCATAAACCAAAAAAATGGTTTAATTCATTTTTAAGATTCAAAGCAAAACTTCCCCATCCATCCACGTCTCCGTGCTTTGTTTTTCTGAGAAATCACTTTGACCCCCCCCCCCCCCCCCCTTGGTATTTCTAGCTGTGACTATCTTGAGTAAGGGCAGATGATTCATGTATCATTTACATCTTGGAATCCATCTGCCCTTAGCTCAGGCATGCAGACAGAAGGTTGTGCTTAGCTGAAGAAACCCCTCTGCCTTTTCTGAAGACTCCTGGAATGTATGACATCATTTGCCTAGGCCTAGAAAACCAGGAAATAACTGAAAAATATATAAAAAAAAAAAAAGTCTAAAAACACGTAAATATGATATACCTTCTATCAGGGGCGGACTGACCATTCGAACACTCGGGCACTGCCTGAGGGCCCAGGGTCAGTAGGGGGCCCCATGAGATGCCCCTGGTACCTTTCATTGGCTTTTTCATAGGCTTTTTTGGGTGTGGGCGAGGACATGGGGGGGCCCCATGATCCCCTATTGCTCGGGGGCCCCATGAGTTGTCAGTCCGCCCCTGCTTTCTATTTACGAACGCTAGCAGTGTAAGGAATACAAATCGTCCATGTTGATTGAGAGAGTGAGGTTCTTCTTTAATACAGCTCTGTAATCGTTAATATATCACTAAAGAGGAACTTCGACCAATTTGGCCGTATTTCTCTTTTAAAAATGTTTGACAAATTTTGGTCACACTTCTCTTTTGGGTCACAAGAGTTCACTTTACTTTTATTCTCTTGTGACCCAGAGCTATTGCCTGCTGTCAGCTGAAGTGGCAGAGCTGCTCCAGGCTCTGGAAGGATTCCAACAATATTGTTGGGATCCACTCAGCTGCCTGATTGACAGATGATACCGGCTCTCAGCCGTACGCTGACCCACCTGTGCCCGCCCCCTCTTCAGCCTGATGCTTCGGTAAAAGTCTGGAGGAGCACAGTGGAGAGCGGTGACTGACAATCACTACTCTCTGCCCCTAAAAGACTGAGAGCTGTGCAATCAGCGGTCATGTGATCGCTCAGTTCTCGGTCTAAAGCTGACCATACACAGATCGAAATTTTGGATGGCCATTTCTGTTCAAGAGCAGTCGATCTATCAAACCACTTTTCATGAAAGGGACTGCTGGAAAATTTCAATTCAATCAGTGCTACAGCCAATAGACTGCAGTGCTGATCTGTGTATTCTGATGATGGGGAAGTGTGGGAGTCTCCTCTCTGTCAGAACACAATGGCACAGCGGGGAGGGGCATCCACACCAAACCTATGAATGGGGGAATCAGTGGCAGAGCTGCTCCAGGGTCTGTAAGGATCCCAAGAATATTGTTGGGATCCACTCAGCTGCCTAACTGACAGACGATTCCGTCTCTCAGCTGTACGCTGACCCACCTGTGCCCGCTCCCCTCTTCAGCCTGATACTCCAGTAAAGCTCTGGAGGAGCACAGCGGAGAGCGGTGACTGACAGTCACTACTCTCTGCCCCTAAAAGACTGAGAGCTGTGCAATCAGCGGTCATGTGATCGCTCAGTTCTCGGTCTAAAGCTGACCATACATGGATCGAAATTTTGGATGGCCATTAGTGTTCATGAGAAGTCGTTCTATCAATCCACTTTTCATGAAAGGGACCGCTGGAAAATTTCAGTTCAATCAGTGCTACAGCCAATAGACTGCAGTGCTGATCTGTGTATACTGATGATGGGGAGGTGTGGGAGTCTCCTCTCTGTCAGAACACAATGAGCGGGGGGGGGGGGGGGTTCCTGTATTCACACCGAATGTGTTGATGGCGGAATCAGTCTATTTTGTTCTAGTTCACCGGCACGTTTAAGAGGCAGTTGCAAAGCATGAAGAGTCTGGCAGGGCAGGACACCCGATTTTTCTCTTCTGCAGTTCAGCAACACTTACAGGTCTTCTCCCT